TAAGGTGGCCCTGTGTTTATGCTAAAAGCTGGACCTCAGACAACCTGGTACTGACTTTGGACATACTGTAATGTCCTTGTAGACTATCATGGTAGTGTTCACACATACATGTTTACCTCTTAACTCATATTAACAAAAAACAATTGCTATGTTCACATGATAGGCTATGCCCAAACATTAAATATACAGACAGACAGACAGACAGACAGACCAGTTCACACAACATGCTCAGACCATGGCTGCGTTCCTAGCTGCTGAAATCATAAACTATCCAAGCCCTTTCAGCCTAGTCTAGTGTGTTGTGTGAACCCAAAAATGAATAACTCCCTAACCATTACAGTATTGTGTGCCTAAACCCATTCCTCGTACATTAGAGGGAATTCATAATCTTAGAATCCTAGAAATGAAAGGAGCTGGATCAAGTCCAGCCCTCTGCTGTGTATAGAAATTCATATTAAAACAGCTTAGTTGTCTAACTTCTGCTTGAATAGATTTTGTTTTGTGAAAGCAGGCATAGTGAGAAGATTAATGAATCCCTCAGAAGCAATTAACCTTTAAAAAAATCTTAAAGCACATATGCCTTTGCAGCCACAAGGCAGAGTAAATCCAAAGTGTTCATCATCGTGCCAAATGGATTTTGATGAATTTTTGGCAAAAGGTAAATTATTGGTGAAAGAACATTGGGCTTACCAGATTTGAAACTATATTTTGCTGCCTGATGTTTAGTCTGAATGAAAGAGTGGGTGTTGTTAAGAAACAGAAGGTTATTGGATTTAGAAGGCCATGATCTGAGATTTGGATGGCATGGATATCTATGGTATTATAAAGCTTAGGTGAATGTAGATTTTAAAAATCATTATATCAGACAGGCTATTCTTAGAGTATGGAATAAATATAAATTTAGATTTTGCCCAAAAAACCTTTGTGGCTTTCAGTGCAAGAAGCGTTTTATAGACGAGAAATGATAAGTAAACATAAATAGTTAACTTATTGTGATGTATTAGAATTTTCTCAAGGGAATTGTAAAATGAAATCAAGAGAAGATTTGATAACAGAAGGATATACTTGACAATGGTTTTCTTAGGTACAATTATTGGAAAGTGGATAAAAGATTTTATGGTTCTGAACAAAGTAGATTGAGTTTGAAATAGAATTGTGTACTAATGATGACCATGTTATTGCTAAAAGATATAAACTTTTGCTGAAATATGAGACAGAAGAAGAAGCTAGTAAAAGAATGTATGATAAAATGGGCTAAAAGTTTTGGCTATAATATGCCAATGGATCAATGGGAAAATATGTGGTTGAAAGGATTGAAATTTACTTTATATTCTAGCCTTAGAATATAGGCTATTATATTAGCCTATATTCTAATATAATAGAGAGAGAGAATTTTTTATAAAATGATGTATTGTTGGTATTTTTCACCAGAGAAATTATCTAGAATGTATAAAAGTACTTTGATTCTTTGCTGGAAATGTGAACAACATGAAGAGACATTTTACCATGGTCAGTGGACATGCAAAAAAGCCCCCCAAAAATGGATACAAATACATACATTAATTCAGAAGATTTTAAAGGTTAAAGTACAACTGAAACCAGAGACTTTTCTTTTGGGACTAATGGACAGGCAATTAGAAAAAAGTCATGGAATTCTGTTTTTATAAATGACAACTGCAGGAGATATTATATGCTCAAAAATGGAAAGGTTTGACACTACCCACAATGGGGGACTGATTGGTGAAGATGATGGAACTTGCAGAGATGGCTAAATTAACTTCCTTGATTAGAGAAGAGACAATATTTACATTTATGGCTGACTGGAAACCCCTTATAAACCTTTTGCATGAAATGGAAAAAAAATGCACTTCTGATTTGTGGCTTTGATGATTAGAAAAAAACTGGACCACAGGAAAAAGTGAGCTTTTTTGTAATCGTAGAGTAAGAGTTGATTTTGTAATTGTACTTATATTTGCTGCAAAAGAAATTGGAAGCGTCTTTTTTTTTCTTTTGCACTTTTTCTATCTTCTTTCTTTTCTTTTTCTTTCTTTGCTTATTTCACTCTTTATCAGTTTGTGTTAGTTTTTATGTTCTTTGTAAAACTTTTAATAAAATTTATGTTAAAAAAAGAAAGAACAGGATCAGTGGGGGTTTTTCCCCCCAAAAAGGATAGTTTAGTGCATGCTTAATATGATACAGCCATACCTACAGTAAAAGATGGACTATAATCTCAATATTTGCACATATTCTGGACATATACATTTAGGCCTGGTTTAAAACAGATTTTGGCACTAGATCCATAGCAAGTTATGGAGCACACATAAATTAGCATCGCGTAGATGTGGCAATTGTTGAAAAAATGTTGTAGTACTACTTTGAGAGAAATCAGGATACTGAAGGAGAAATGCTACCGAAATAATGAATTAGGACGGGTGTTTTGTGCCTCACAACTGAGCCATATATTGTCTTATCAGAATAACAAATAATGTAGCTTGCCCCATGAATTAAACAGTGATGGTTGCACAAAATATATTAGCATGCCAGAGAGCACCAATCAGAATCCTGTTTAAAACATTCCTGAGACTGTGTGCTGGGAAGTGAGGGAGGGAAAGGGTAACTGTGACCCCATTAACATTTTATGGCTTATTGGAAACGTAATAGTCTTTTGTAGATAATAGTGGGGCATTCTGACAGTAAAACAGTTAAAAAGAAGTTAGGAGTTCTCCCTTTATGTCACCAGCTCAGCCTTCCTGCCATCTGAAACCAACCATACTTCAAGGCTGGTGTTTCCTGACAAAAATATCTGCTTTCTCTGGGGAAAGGAGGCAAATTGTCATGCCACTGAAGAAAAGCTTTCTCAGCAGGGGTGTCCATCGGGGAGGGGGCCGAGAGATGAAAAAATCAAGATGGTAGCCCAGATCATCATGTGATCGAAGCTGGGGGGGATGGCTTATGGGTGTCGCATGAGTAAATATTTTTAAATGTGTTGCTTGTGTAAAAAAGAGGTGGGCTTTGATTGTTTGATTGTGGACACCAGTTTGATTTTTTTTTTTTATCCTGACCTTGCACACTCCCATGCTTCCCAGCCTGAGCCCTTTCATAAACTCTTCAAGTTGGCTTTCTTATCTAAACTATTCAGAACTGAACGGATTAAAGCTATTTCTCATGAAATGATAAATCGCTCCTTTTCCATTGCATAAAAATCCTACGGCATGTGAGACCTCTAGTCTGTTTCTTCTTCTTTCATTGTTTTGTTTTATTTGATGCCTTCCAAGTAATCTTATAGATGAAACTGAATGATATGAAGATGTGGATTAGCCCATCCCTTCTTCCTTTTCCTCTACTGGTAACATTTCCCCATGTCATAGGATACTGTCCCAGTGAGAGTCTCCCTATATTTGATAGTAGTAGTCAGGTTGTCCATGGGGAGGGGTCAAAAAGGTCAAGATGGTAGCCATGGCTACGCAGTTGAAGCACCACCTTGTGAACTTGTATCAACTCACCTTTTACACTTGTCAACTCATATAAAAAAGGATTCGATTGCATGGTCACAATTGCCATCTTGACTTTTGGATTCCTCCCCCCGCCACCCACAAATTGACTGTCCTGGTGGTATCCATGAAAGCTAATGAATGTAGTGGGTGAAAGGCATTTCCCATTGCAATGAGCTCATGACATATGGTTGGTTTTACTTAGGCCTGGAATGTTTACCAGGCATGATGAGGCAAACTGAGGCTCATCGATTCAGGAACTCCAATGCTGAGTGTTCTAGGTGTTCCTAATATCTTAACTTTATAAGCATAAGATATGCAGAGCAATAATATCTAAGTGCGTATAAGAAAACTGATATTGGATATATTGGGAGATTAGCCTTAGTCCTTTTTTGTTTGTTCGTTTGTCAAGTCAGTCTTGACTCCAAGCAACTAGATGGACAAGTCCATGCAGTTTTCTTGACCATCCATGTCACTCCAAGGGTTAATCACCAACAAAAGGAGGTGAATATGGACATTGCAAGAGAATAAAATCACCATTTCTCCACCTCACTTCACTTAGGATCAGGGTGGTTAATACAAATACAAAACAGTGAGAGTAGAGCTAACCTTCGCGAAATACTGTAGGGAATGGTGTTACCTTTACAACTGGAGATTTTGATCAGTAGTATCTAATAACACATTTGGTTTTTTTTCATAAAACGTGCACATACCTACAAAATTACAGAACCACATCAGCTGATCACAAGAGCTTCTTTCTCATTATGCCTTCTTTATGAAATTATCTCCCTCTGCAAGGCTACTTTCGTGGTAATGCTGAAACTATACTATCTGTAGTACCTTTAGTGGTTTATTTTGCTAACTATTTTCAGATGGGTTCATTGAACTTTAAGATTTACTCTATCCAAAGGTTTTTTAGTAGAAAAGTAGAAAATTGATAAATTATTATATATAGGATGGATGGATGGATGGATGGATGGATGGATGGATGGATGGAAGGATAGTTAGGTAGATAGACAGGATGTGTGTGTGTGTGTGTGTGTGTGCATGTACACACATGAGAAAGAGAAAAAGAGAAGATACACACACACACACACGAAAGGATCCACAATAAATTTGCTCTAATACTTAAGAGTAATTAGGAGATTCCAGTTCACACCAATGACACTTCTCAAGAATCCGGACAGAGTTTTATTTCAAATAAAAAGGTCAGCATAATCCAGTGGTTCTTTAACTGGAGGTAATTACCCTCAAAGAGTAATTTGGGCATATCCTAGTGGTAATGGAGCAATTTGTAATTGTTAGTCAAGGATCCAGTTTGAGACTTCCACTGCAGTGACACTTGTGTAAAAGAACAGAATCTTTTTTTTTTTTTTTTTGCTGGGGGTAATGACATTATCTGAGACTGGAAAAAGGGGTAACTGGGTCAAACGGTTTAAGAACCACTGTCATAGACATTTAACTTCATAAAATCTTTCTTCTGTTTTCCCTACCTTTTTTATTTTTTAGGAAATACAAGGCCATCTTCTCTCAAAGTTAAAAGCTGTAGAAGCTATTCAAGAAAAAAATGCTTCCCTGCAGGAGGAAATCACTTCTCTGAAAAATACACTTGGATATGTTAAAGGGTAGGTTATTCACTTAGCTCAGAGCTTTCCATTTATATGCTACCTTATGTAACCTTTCTCTGCTTTCCCTGAGTAACAATGCCATGGCAGCTGTAAACTGAAACAATGAGCATCAATTAGGCAGAAAACACTGATTCAACTTCCACTTTCCATAACTGGAAAATTAACAATAGCCAAATAGAGCAAGCTAAGGCCCTTAAATCTCTGGGCATCTATTTCCAATCTTCTAACTCCTGGAATTATCAAGCCTATGGGCTTGCAACCCAAGCTCAGAAGGTTTCTAATCTAATAATTAGATGTGCAAATCATGTGCCTGCAATAGTCAAATTATTTAAAACTAAGATATTAACCCAAATAACTATTTAATGTACAGTTTTGCACTTATAAACATATAACAGCCTTAGAAGCAATTCAGTTTATATTTTTGAGAACTACGCTCTGCCTTCCCCATTCAGCTGCAAACACATTTCTTTGGCTTGAATTTGTTTGTGCCTCTGAAGAGGCCTGTATGAGAGTCTTCTGTTTGACATATTGGTTGAAACAAGTATTTGAGAGTCTTTGGCTCTGCCTACCCTAGTAGATAAATACACTTTTTCTTGGAAGGAGCATGTTGGTCTGATCTGCCCTACGGTGGCCTCTCAAGCCATTCCCTATTCATCAAGAGAGTGCTTGATGTGTTTTTACGAAACAACAGTTCTAAAACTTGGAATCGCCACTATGGACCACGATTAAATATTTTTGTAATATTCTCCCTGCTCCTCACAGAAGGATGTTCACATTGGCAAAATCTGATGTTCTACTCTCGAAAGTCATAGGAAAGTTAATAACATCCCTTCCCTGAAATCTTTATGCATGTACACAGAGCTAGATGTCAAATCAGTTGGATGTGTTTTGTTAAGCTGTTCTTTATGCCTTACATGGCACACAGAACTAATTATTCTTCTTATTAACAAACACTTGAGCTACATTGTAACTTTTTTGTCCTTTTTATTATGTTGTTATAAATCTTAGTTCATTGTGTTATTTCCATATGTTGATGTTTATATAACGTGTTTAAAAATTATTAACATTCTATTATTTAAATAGCTTAGAGTACTGAGAGTAGAAAAGAGAAGGAAAAAATATTCTATGTTCATTACAATTTAAAATGGCAATATTACAAGCATAAAATTATTTAGCTTTTTCATCCAAAGTTGAGTATAACATTGAAAAAGAACCACTACAAGTCACATCAAAATACAGGTTGTCCTCACCTACCAACTGCTTGTTCAGCGACTGTTTGAAATTATGACGGTGCTAAAAAAGGAAATTTATGACTAGTCTTCAAACTTGTGGCTGTTGCAGCATCCCCACGCTCATGTGATCGTGATTCGGGTACTTGGCAACCATATGCATTTACAACAGTCACAGTGTCCCATGGTCATGTGATCACAATTTGTAACCTTCACTGCCAGCTTCTGACAAAGTCAATGGAGGAGCCAGAAAAGTCATGGGTTTAAGCTTAATTAATTCACTTAATGACTACAGCCAGAGCTGATGTCATAAGTTGGGCACAGTCACGTCAAATTTCACTTTATAACTGCATTGCTTAGTGACGTAGGTGCTGGTCCCAATTGCATTTGGTAAGTGAGGACTACCTGTGATTGTTACATACTAGAATTTTTGATCTTAAGCTGATTACTTATTAAAGTCTCCCTCGTATTGTTACTTTGTGTGTGTGTGTGTGTGTGTGTGTGTGTGTATAACACCTATTAATAAAAGCAAAAAATAAAAGGCAATTGTTCTTAATAACAAATGTTTGAGCTAGATTGTAACTTTTTCCTTAATGGAACACTCTAGAAAAATCTCTGACTTTGTCATTGCAATTGCTATCAGAACTATGCCAAGATAAGAAGAAAGTTTGATATACATGCTGGCTTATAAAGTTGGACAGTCTTTCATGATTTCTGTCCTTGCTAACATTGCTTTCAAGTGCATGGTTCAGAAGGTTATGTTGACTTTCAGTCTACAGCTGTATCGCAAATAAATAAATAAAATAAACATTCACATTCAAAAGTAAGAAAGGGAGATAGCTAGGCACTTAACAGAAAATTTTAGTTGCTATAAATTATTCCTTTTTGGCAGTCATGCAGAATTTGTAGCCTATCAGTATTTTGGCCTTTCGACTAGTCCTCTGTTTTTAATTCCCAAGCAGAGACCCCAGACAGGAAAATCAATAATTCTGCTTGATTTGTCTTAGGGGATACGCTATATTAGAGAGACATAAAACAGCATCCATACCATCTATGAAGCATCCATTACTTAAGAGCATTTTCACATAGGTCTTTCACCCTGATCCCAAATTGGCACAGTCTTCTGTCACTGGAATGAATTCAAAATTCATTCAAAGTTTGTTTCAGTCAAAGACCAGCATAGAACAAAACAATTAACAAACTGTTTAAAAGTAAAAGAGGAAGGCCGGATATAAAACACAATCTAAAACAACAGTAGAGAATATTATTATCATTATTGTTACCAGTGTAAACTGTGTCTAAAACTAACAAACGCGTAATATTTAAAACTAAGACATAAAACTAAAATTCTAAGATAGAGGTAAGTTAAAATTATACACACATGCACGCACGCACACACGCACACACACACACACTTATTCAGTGTTGTTCAAAAGTTAGCCACAGTTATATTACACTGAGGGATGAGGTACTGGAATGAATGATTTCCAGCACAGCAGAAGCAAAAAGGGACCGCAGAAGGATTCAGTTATGGAACTGGCAATGAAGGAGCTCTGTAGAGTTTCTGGACAGGTGGCTTCCCATTGCTGAGAACTTCTGCCCTAACTTACCTTCCAGTTCCTTGATTCTTACTTCTTCCTACAACTAGGCAACCATAACATCCACAGAGTCCTTATGCTGGCATTCCTAAACAAATCAGAGGTGACTTTTTAGACCACCCCCCATGACCAGTTCTCTATCTCTCACATTCACTCTGCAATGAATGTAATCACAATAAAGGCAAGGATGGGGTGGGGTGCATTGATCATACAGGTTGGTTCATCCAGAGTTCTTGGTAACTGTGCTAAGGACAATTGTGGGCCATTGTGGAACATGTTAATAGAATATGGGGACTTTCAGGTCACTGATTATGGTGGCTCCGTGGGAATGCCCTAAGTTGGGCACTAAATATAGCTTTTTTTAGAATGCGCTGTGTTTTGCAAACATTTAAGGACTGTCATTCAAAAGTGTCCCAACAAACAAATCAATGCAGAAGGCAGCTCTTGAGTAGGAGTTTAGAAACCCCAATTCAAGGATAATAGACATTTGGCATACATATCTTTAAAAAATAAAATCCCCCCCCCCAAAAAAAGATTACAAAATCAAATTCTCATAACAAATCAAATTCGAAGGAAGGAAGGAAGGA